TCTCCCTTCAGACACTTCACTGCCTCAGAAACTGAGAAAACATAATTTTTACTCTCTAGCTAGTTGTTGAAGTCAGGAAATTATTCAAGAGCACTCAGATATGCAAGAATCTTTTTAGTGACTAGGTGGGATTCACATCCAGGCTTATGTCCTGGAGAACAGTGGATGAATGTGGGGTGAGACCAGCCTACACTGACAAGAACAGAGGCTGGCATTTCAAAAGCACAAATGTGTTTGGCATGGTAGAAAGTGGCAGCAGATGCTTTTGGCTTTATCAAATAAACATTTGGGACTATAGCATGCTTTTTACTAGAACCCCTCCCCCGCCCAAATTATTTTGACTTCAGACACTTTACCAGGCCTTCTAAACCAAAAGCAAAGGATGGAAAGGGCTGACATTTACTGCAGGTACGTGCCACTATCTAATAGAAAGGAGGCTGGTGTGGGGTCTTCAGGGTTCTGCTTGCAAAATCTTCGTGGCAGCAGTTCCTACCTTGCTCTTCCCCCTGGCTTTCAGCCCATCACTGGATGGTGACTTCTTTCACCCCAGCACGGAGCATTCAGAATATTATATGAGTGTGTCTGGGACCACACGCTCCTTCCCACTGCATCCTTTCTAGAACCAGACAATCTCCAAGAAGAAGGACAGCAAAGTCAGCTGAGCAGCCTGGTATAAAGTGTGCAGGTAGGATGGGGAAAAAAGCTTGGGTTCCAATTAATATTTGATTCTTTGTACAGTGAAACATCTCTGAGAAACTGAACAGACTGAAGCCGTGGACAAAACACTCAGCTGGCAAGTTAGTTCAAAACCTTCTTACAGAGCAGGGATTACTTGTCTCTTGGCAGAAATTGGAACACACTCAGCATTATTTCTGCCTTTGTAATCTTGTGAATGACACCTCAGTCGTTTTGAGAGCCCAGCTCAGAAATCAGTGTAGCTGCTATTAAAAATTCTGCTATGAGCTCTTGCAGCATTTCCAGTTCTGATGTGTGTGTAAACGTATCTGATGATATTCACTAAATTTGATCCAAATGTATTGGCACTCAAATTCATAATTTTCAGAAAAAAAATGACTTGGCAGAAGAACTTTACAAAACTTTGAGGAAAATACTGCATAAGAAAAGCAAAGGTACACTCCCTACCAAGTTAGTTCTCTGTGGTTCTGGATCAAGCAGCTGCACTTCTCTCTATTCATTCAGTTTCTAGTCAGTTCTTAGATCCTAAAATGTTCATCAAAGATCACTTTTGGTGTCCATAACCCCAGTTCTGCAGAAGTTCAGACTGGACATTTCCTGAAAAGTGTCTGCTCTGGGTAGCGCCCTTAAATTCTCATCTAATGGCAGGCCAAACACAAAGAGCCCATGATAAAATATTTTCTCTTTTGAGGACATTTTTCTGTTTTCCTGTACATGATATTGGAGTTCAAATAAAGAAGGATACCCGCTGGGGAGTTGCCTGAGTAACCTGTGATGTGTTTTTGTTGTCTAAGATTAAATATAAGCAAGGGAGCAATCACAGAGAAGGATTTTATACCTGAGTTTATAATTTTCATATAACAGCAAAGTTGAACTATGCCCCCAAGTTCCTAAAGCAAAAGCAGTCACCTTGAGGGTGATGTCAACTTGGTAATTTTCACTGAAAAATAAATTAAATGCTATATTTATTATTCAAGAACCTCGATTAAAAAAAAAAAAAAATCTGAAAGATGTAGCAAATAAGACAGACTTCATTAGAAATGTAAAGACATGGAAGTGGAAATAGCTGCTACAAATAATATCTAAACCTGCAATGTGTGCATCCCTTATATATTCTATTTTCTTCTTAATAGAGTTCAGCTATAGTCTGCTCTTAAGCTTACAGTCAAAAAGAATTTCTTGTTGTCCTTGGAAAATGACTTCAACTCTCACAGCGCATACGAGGAAGTGATTTATGAACGTATCAATATCAGTTCAACAGACAGAATTTAAAGATTCAGAATAAAAGCAAAATTTGTTTTAAGAGGGTGTGATGGAGAAAGAATCTGTCCAAACTGTCCTCAGTTATGAGCATCAAAGGGAGATCAGGAAGTCTGGGTTCAGGAAAGGGCGTGGGAGCCGAGCTAGCAGAAAGGTCATTTCCATGAGAAATAACCCAGCAGAGCAATGCTGGGAAAAGTCAAAGCCAGTCTTGAGGGGAAGGAGCGCAGAAGTGAGCTGTGCAAGGAGGGTGTGCAGGAACTCCCAGGCCCTGGAGGGTCGGGGGCAGGTGGCTGCTTCTGGGGCAAGGTCGCTGCCAGTGCTCACATCAGCCCCAGTCCCCTGTCCCTGGCTGTGCATCCACCACCTCTGGACACCCCAGGAGCAGCGAGACCTCAGACCGGGCTGCTTCACCAGGCTCTGGAGAGAGGGAACACCGCTGGCCTCGCTGAGAAGGTGAGCATGTGCTGGGTGTGTCACATTGTGCTCCTAAACTGCCCAGCCTGTCTTGGTTTGGTGTGGCTTCCCCGCAGCTGGCTGCCTTGCCCATCCACCCAGCTGCCCAGCATTTCCTGGGATTATTCAGAGATGAGGGAAAAACATTTGATGGGAAGCGTTGGAAACTTGAAGTATCTCTCTAAACCTTGGGTCAATATATCCCTGGCAGTGCAAAAGAGCTGACAGAGCCACTGTCAAGTTTAATTGTCCCCTAGATAACGTCCTTCAAAATCGTATATATTATACATTTCTGTTTATCCTGAAAATGTGCAATCTAAACACTTTATCCAAAAGTGACTTTAAGAACTGTAGCTGCTTGTCCATGATAGGCACGTGGGTCTGGGCTTCTGATGCTGGACGTGTTCTGCATCTTCCCTGGATAATTAGGGGTCTAATTATTAAAAATTAAATAAATTAAATATTAAGAATTACCTCTGTGGCTGATTTGCTCTCTGCCCCTTCATGTCTCACCACGGCCCCATTTTGGGACTTTTAGGGGAAAAAAAATGGTACTGGGCACCCAAACGGAATGGGATGTGTTGGAAAGGCTGCAGGGTTTAAGAGAGGGAGCAATGCACAGCTCTGGACATAGTGTAAGTGGAAAAGAAATGTCCAAAACAGAGTTTTTGGGGAATACTTTTTCAGCAGAAGCATGATATTATGAAAACACAAGTCTGACGTGAGATAAAGCAGCAGATGAATGTGGAAGACAGCCCTGAAATCCAGAGAGGAAACAGGTTGCAATAAAATAAAATGTTATTGCAAACAGACATATATTGCAGTAGCCTTCTCCTAAATGAAGGAATTTTGGATTTTAAATGAAGCACTACTTTCATGGGTGTTTGGACAACCTTGGGAAGGGGATGCAGGATGCATCTGTGGATGTTGGCTGTCAACTTGGAGAAGCCTGGACATGCAGTGTTGTTTGGTGGAAATGACAGGGAAAGGGACAGCAACAGGTTTTGAAAAGGAGAGGGCAACAATAGGACAGGGGGTGAACAGTGTGATGGCAGAGCGGGAGGATATGAGGGGCTTGTGTGTTGTGATCATTCTCTGCTTAGTGCTTGGGGTAGAGATATGAGGGCAAGATTCAGGAAGGTAAAACTCACCTCACAGACAGAAAGGCAGAACTGGGCTTTCCAAGGGACAGCAGGGAAGCTGGGAGGCCTCAGCAGGGGGAGAAGAATACACCTGAGTGAAATTTGGCAAGTAACTGCTTTATTTTTTCTTTTTAGCTAGAAAAAGTCACATTTGTGCTGTTAGAAACTCTGTGCAGAAAGCCAGAGGATTCCAACAATTTGGTTATAAAAAATAGTTTAACCTCTGATCCAATAACTTCATCATGAAAATCACATAAATTAAATTTTGGTTAAAGCTGCAGAAAACAAGGGTTTTTTTTGCACAAAACAACAATTTTTGATTGTCTGATTGGTCTTTTTTTTTTTTTCTATGTAAAAAACTGAAATCCTTCATTTGCTCCAGTTCACTTATGGTTAGGTGATTTAAGCTGCAATATTTTGGGTAAGGGAAAGGAGGGGAGACTGTTCAACATATAAGTCTGAGGTTTCTGTGTCTGAAATGAGAAGCATTAGAGGCTTGGCCCTGCAGTATGGATTTTAGAGATGAGTTTTCTGATGATGTGAAAAAGAGGCAGATGGACTGTAGGAAAAAGATAAGCAATCACTATTGCAGGGCTAGAAAGCAAGAAAAATAACAGAGCTATCAAAAGATATAAAGAGGAAGAGTGATGGGAGAAATGAGAATGAAAGGTGGAGAATTATCTATGGGTTGTGACAGTTTTTGGACCATGGTGATGGGAGCTTGTCAAAAAAACACGCAAAGAGCAACAAAGCTGTCTTGGTTGTGATGTCCCAAAGCTTTGGTTTGGAGTTTCAAATGATCTGTGCATATTGTGGATTTTAAGATCAAAAAGCAAAACTGTCACTGCATTTTTGTGGCATCCTGTTAACACAGGCTACTCAGCATCAGCAACAGAAACCTGCTTTCAAGGCCAGATTTTTTATATGAACCTTTAAAAATGCTTTATTTTGAAAATTTTGTTTCAGCCTCATAACAATTTTTAATGTGTTTGTGCATCTGTCATTTGGGAGCAGGCTATTCTGAGGCAGAAAATATTCTCTCATTTTAGTCCACTGCAGGTCTGTAAAGATGAGGTAGAGAGATAAAGGGAAAGTCCAGGTTTTTATAAGAAAGCTTTTAATGCTGCCATTGTGCCTCTTTATCTACCAATGCCAGTTTTCTCAGCTTTTATCAGCTAGGTGTCTGGTGGATTCCTTACCTTTCAGCATCAAAGGGGCAACATAGTTACCTGTGAGAACTGATTTATTTGCTTGTTCCTGTCATTAATGTAGTTTAATTCTGATTTGGAATTTTGGCAGTAAATCTACGCATTTGTGTTCCCTGTTCTTTCAGTCCTAATCTCCAGCCCCACTGTGCCACCTCCTCCCTGACAGTGGTCAGTAGCCTCTTGCAGAAGCCCTGGAAGAAGCCTTTTCCCACAGTCCCCCTATTTGCTAAAGAAAGCCATGTCTGCCATTGACCAGAGGAACCAGAGCAGGCAGCACACAGAGCCTGAGACAGGCTACATCGCCCCTGGGGTGAAGCCAAGGGGCGAGATGTTCGTCTTTATTGATGGGAAATGGGTGAATGACATCTGCTGCCAGCCACCCTGTCCTTCCCACCGGAGACTCTTTTGCAAGAAGGCACAGAATGAGTGGAGCATCTGGGAGGAGAATAGAGCACTCTGGCAGGAAAACCAAGTCCTCTGGATCAAAAACAGGATGCTCTGGGAAGAAAACAAGGCCTTACAGTATCTCCAGTCACGGAACAAATCTGTCCAGGTAATTTACTCTGATGTTCTTCAGCAAAGCCTCAAGAGCAAAAATAAACCATTTCCACTCTTCCAAGAGAGGAGCACAGGCTTTCAGTTCAGCCTGGACAACAAAGCTCTCCAGTCAGTCCAGAAAAAGAATAAATTATTTGAGGATTTCCAGCAGGAGAATAAAGCACTCCCTGTTACCTGGAAGGGCCAAAAAGCCATCACTGTCCATGAAGAGAGTGAAGATGCCAGCTCAGACCTTCAGAAGAACGCTGACACCACTGCAGCTGTGGAAAAAGGTAACCCCAGCCCAGTCCCCCAGCAGGAACATGAAGGTAGAAGGAAGAACATTACTCCAACTCAGAATAAGATTGAGTCTGCCCCAAGTATGCTGGGAGAGCATGAAATCCTCCGAGTTCTTCAGGATCTGTGTGAGCTCCTCCACACCTTCCTAAAAATGAGCCATCCTTCTGGGGAGAAAGAGTGTTGTCACAATGTCTGTGATGTGAACAGATCCTTCCAAGAAGATTACAATAAACTGAAGCTGCAGCTGAAAGCTGTGAAAAACACTGTGTCAGACATTACAGCTCAAATGGATATACTGGAAAAGGAGATCATTGCTGTCACTTCCCCAGTGTATGAAGAATCAGGGCAAAAGCTGGCAACTGAGCATCAGCTTGGACACGTGTGAAGCTTGGGGCTAAGAACTGCTAGCTCAGTTCCCAGAAAGCTTCCCTCCTATTTTCAGGAACCTAATAAAATCCCAATAGAGCCTGAAGACATCTGAGGAACCTTGGTTCTTTCTGAAACTTTCTTGCAGTACTTAGAAATATTTCACCTCCTGGTTAAATGGTGTAGGTGACTGTAATGAATTTGCCTAGCCTCAGGAATCATGTTTTTCAGCATTTTTTTTTTTCAAAGTTTCTTACAGTAAAGTCTAGATTTTCAGAAGGCTATTGCTTGAGGATCTTAACTCTGATTACAGTGTGCCAGCTTGTAGTCCAAGGACATACTCACAGTCTCTGCTAAAAAAGCGTTGATTAATAAAGGAGGATGACTCCTCCCAGACATTATGGTGGGGGCCACAGGAAGAAATGGAGCTGGCAGCAGGACTTCTCCTGCACAGAGCAGTGAGATCGCTCTTGATTTCTTGGCTAGTCAGATAAAGCAGGTTTTTAGCTGCCCCAGAGTAAGAAAGTAGGTTGCCAAAAGCAGCATTTTGATGGCTGTTCCATGGCTTAAGCCAGTATTTAGAAGGGCATCTACTCACACTATAATGGACAAGTCAATCTCCAGTGATCTGCTGACACAGAAATTAGAGCCTTTTGATCTGCTCAGGTTTGAAATTCTGCTCTAGTCTCAGTTGTGTGGCCAGAGTGGCTGGAAATGCATTTCCTCTGTCCTGGACAGTCTGGATGCAGTGCACTTTGTCACAATCTTTCAGGCAGAATATGGGAGCCTTTAAGTAATCTGACAAGACAGATGCAGTGAGACTTCTGCAGAGCAATTGTAGGGGCATTACTGTAAAGCAAAGGAGAGGTTACAGTGAGGTTTATCTGTTTCAACAGGACCCCAAAAGCAGGTTTTCACTCTAGTTTAAAAATCTCTAAGTGATTTGGCACTGAATTACCTAAAGCATGAGTTATCTTTCACCTTGTATTTCACTCAGACAAGACCATGCCAAGTACAAGTGATGACTGTTTACTTCAGAGGCTTAAAACAACAGGTATTTTCTTTTGCTGCTTTGGTTTTGGGATGCTGAGGCCAATCTCTCACGCATGAAGTTAAATGGCTGGCTCTCAGTGGTGTGGGTAGGGCTGCATCTGTAAAGATCAGGTGAGAAGAAGAGGAGCGATGTTCATTAATAGGTGATGTGCAGACAGCAAGTTGCTTTTGCTTAATGACTGGGTCACAGCTATTAAAAGATAAATACCTCAGCACTGTGCTGGAGAACATTTTTTGTGCCTTCAGACAGGTTGCTTTTTTCTTCGCCATCTGCATCACCAGGTTTGAACACATAGTTTGGTAAGAGAGAGAAACTGGACTATGGAGACCCTAATGAAGAGGTTCAGAGGAAGGTAACAGTAGTAAAAAGCTCTGATCATGTGTTCATATCTTAACAAACTAATTTGTGTCCCATTAGAAGAAATAAACTGCTCTTTTGCCAGTGGTCAGAATACTGGCTCCTGCCATGTCCCTCTACACGGGCAAGAAAGACATTTGGGAGTGTATCTTTCTACCAGGTGTTTGGGAGGAGTCATCTCATCTAATGTCAGGTGTCCATCCAGGCAGGACATCCAGATCTCAGCTAGTCTCCCTGGGCTTCCTTTCTGTCCTGTGGGAAGGAATGGGCATGTTCAGGCTCTGATTAATCTGTCTCTTATTAGACTAAAAGTAGGCTCTGTCACCAGCTGGAGTCCCTTGTTTCTCTCTGTTGCCTCTATAATTAATTCAAGGACAATTAACTCCAACATAGACATTTGGTTTGGAGCTCTCTGAGTGAGAAAGTTGGCAGTTCCAAGCAGAGGAGATGTTCCATCTAATGGTGAAGTGGCACAGGCTTGGGAGTGTGTCCCAGTCCCTGGCTTTGCTTTCCGTGAGATGCCTTCATTAAGCAGCTGATTCAGATCTCTCTATTGTGTAGAGAAATTATTACTTTGTGAATAAAATTGAGTTAGTTTGGGCAGAGCTTAAATATCATGCAGACACATGTAGGATCCTGAGGGGAGCACACTACTTCTCCTGAATACTAATGATGTTTTTGGAAGAAATTAGGTTTTGTGAGTCCTTTGCACTCTGATCACTTCTTTGGATCTTCGACCATCATGGTTATAAAAAAGTCTATACCTAGTATATGTTTTTGGCATCTTTCACAGAGAAGTTGAATTTCCCATCCCTTCAAGTTTTCTCAAGTCTGTCAAGTGAGATGACAATGTCCCTAAAAGATTGCCCAGCACTTAATCTTGCGGAGGACTCTGTGCTGTTCAAACTCTCTGTCCTGTCTTAGGGCAAGTTTGGGAGGAAACCTCCAAAGGTGTCCCTCTAGAAAACAAATTCAAGCAACCCCTCCCCACACCAGTTCAGGAGACATAAATGTCCTTTGAGAAAAGTGGAAAAACCTGTTTATTTAACAAGCAAAGTACTCACAATCATGGAAAAATGAATAATATTAAACAATGGAATTGTTTAATTCACTGCTCTGAAGAGATGGCAAATTCAGAGAGAGAGAGAGAGAGTCCTTGCCGTGGGGTGTAGTTCAGCTCGCTCAGTCTCTCATCAGTCCCTCCTGCACTGGAAAATGCCGCATCCTGAGCCCTGGTGGGCCACAGGTGTGAGCTCCTGGTGTTTGTTTCAGTCCAGAGCAGGACTGAACAGTTCCAAGGAAGAGAAAAGACACAGTCCAGGGAAGTTCTCTGCTTCAGCTGGCTAAAAACCTAAAAAGCAGAGAGCTCTCTCTCACTGTCCGTGCTGCAGACAGCACAGTCCAGAGAAGGAATGTGGAGGAGCAAGTGCTGCTTCTGCAAACAAACTGCGGCTTCTTCTCCCCCCTCTTTGCTCTCAGAACCAGTCTTAAATGTACAGAACTTAAATGAAGCATAACGGAACAGACAACTGGGGATACAAGCATCATAAAGTCACCCCAGGACATTCTCATAATCCCAGAAGGTGAAAAATCTCCAGTCTGTGCTTCAGTGACAACAGTGGAGGATCATTTCTGGGTGCTGCTGGAAAGGCAGATGATCACGAGTATTACTTGATTTGTTAATGCTAAGGGCACAGACAGTGACATCTGACTGAGTGGCCTGCAGAGTGCCACAGGACTGCATGGGAAGAGCCCTAAGCACTGCCCACTTTCTGCGTTGTTCCATGTCCCCAGCCAGTGCCACTTTCCAGTTCAGTGGGAGCCAACCTACAGGTCTCCATCTCTAGAGCGTGTGCTGGTGAGAATGGTTGGACTGACAGCTTTTGTACACTTCCAGGTACAAATGGAAGAAAGCAGGCATTCACAGGAAGATCTTATTAATTATCATAAAATTTAGGCAAGTTTAGGAAAAAATGGACTAAGTTTAATACATTTTTCTAGTCTGCTCACTGGTTTACAAGTCCCTGGAAATTGGTAGCTTTTCTGGCTTGGAATGGATGGATGTCATTCTTCTAGTGCATAATTTACCTTTTGCAGGATGACAAACTTTCTGTTTCTCTCCTTATTGTTGCTGATTAGGTCCTTATTTTTTACTACTCGTTTATCAGTACTATTTTTGGAAAACTGGATTTTTGGCAAGGTCACCAGCAGCTTCTTACTTCCCTGTAAGTTTGATTATTGCCTCTAGCTGGGCTCTGTGGAAATGCTGACTTTCCTCTTCTCATTTCTTACTGGACAGTCCAATATATCTGGGTTTGTATTGTCTTCACAGAATACCCACCATGGCCTTTTGTGCTCATCTCAGCAGCCCCACTATATCTTCTCAACCCTAAATTGCAATTTTGATTTTTTTTCCAAAGTGTTATGAGCTTCCTTGAGCCCTGGTTTGCTCCTGTTAACTGCTGAAGATAATTTTCCCAGAGTTTTGCTTGTGATTTCATGAAGTTGAGGACATACTATCAGCAGCCCAGTTTGTTCTTCCCTGGCCAGTTCCCAGCCAATTCCAGTTTAGCTCAGAATTAGACATAATTGTACATTTAAATGCAGGATATATTGGAATTCTTTCACCCAGCCTTTGTGCTGAACTAGTCATTGTCTTTTTTTGACATCCAATTTGAGCATAGACTACTCAAAATATTCCTGCAGTGAAATGAAAAGATATGGGGGAGTAATTCCTCAGATAAGTTTCATAAAGGAATTCTTTCTTCCAGTGGCTGTTGGCTGGCTTTAAAGCAGAAAGCTTTAAAACTCTACCACATCTTCCAAAGCAGTATTCATCTCACCTAGGTGGAAACACTTAAATGAAATCAGTAACTGTGACCCATGGCCACCCGAGGTCACTTCTCCAATTAGTGGGGGTAGGAAGGATTGCCAGAGGGTACAGATCTTTCCCTGCTGACTGCAGAGAGCCTGGAGGGGCCAAGATTAGGTGGGGAGAGTTGAGTCCTGGAGATGGCCACATCACTTGATGAATGGCTGACAGAGAGCTTTGGATGGAGCTAAGGAAAAAAAAAAAAATAAGTGAGTTTACGACAGTAAGGGGCAGGCAACTTAGGAGGAACACTGGGATGTTGTGTTGTGATACAGGGAGAAAATTAAAAGGGTCAAATCCCAAATCAAACTTAATGTGCTTACTGTTGTAAAAAATGTTTCTATAAATTCGTCAGCAAGAAAAGGAAGACTAAGGAGCATCTTGACCCTTAAGTGGATGTGGGAGGAAACATTGTGACAAAGGATGAAGAAAAGACTTCAGGTACTCAATGCTCTCTTTGCCTCAGGCTTTCACAGTAAGATCAGCTGTTCTCTGGGCACCCAGCCCTCTGAGGTGGAAGACAGGAGCAGGGAGCAGAATGAAGCCTCCATTGTCCGAGGGTGGATGGTCAGTGCCTCATCACTTAGACACACACAGGCATATGAGGCTGATTGGGATCCACCCAAGGATACTGTGGGACCTTGTGGAAGTGCTCACCAAGGCACTCCTCATCATTCCCCAGCAGTCCTGGCTAACTGTGAGTCAACTCTCCAACCTCCAGTCAATTGGAAGGAGAG